CTCCAATACTTCTGTTAGTCTTAAAGGTGCCACAGGACCCTCTGTTGCTTTTTACAGATTCAGACTAACACGGCTACCCCTCTGATACCCAATCCCCTGTATTCACTCAATTCACTGCTTGAAACGTTATGCAAATGGTGCCGCAGTTAATTTCTTCCTAAGAAAATGAATGAGAATTACACGTGTGCTAGAACATCTATGCATCACCACACATACACCAGGGCCAGGGCCTTATTTATATGAGGGACAATCTGACTCACATTTCCACGAAAATAACAGAAATCACATTGGCTTTTCTTCCATTATTTCTTCCATATTTTTTTCGTACACTGGCTGCTTTTGTAGTTTTGTGGCATGTTTTTTTGGTGGGGGGCGGGGACAGATTGTTAATAGATTTAGCATCTGGGAAGTTAGGGCAGATGCTTTTGTGGATGGCTGCAGGTGGCTAAGGCAGCAGGGAAGAAAGGACTGTTTGCTGGGGCTAGAGAATGACAGTGGATTCACCAGCTGACAGGAAGAGTGAAGATGGTAGGAGTGGGACCTGGCAGTGGTGCATTATAAATCAGAGCTTGTCAGAAAATCGAGGGGAGGGTTCATGGAAATCATCAACAAAAACAAATATAATTTAGTTTTCATTGAAATTTTCCACAGAAAATGTCAACTTATTGACCCCTCCCACCCAAAAGAAACAAAAAAACAACAACCAGTTTTGACAAGAAAACAGTTTTGATGAAAAATGTTCAACCAACCTTAGGTATAATATCCATTGCTCTGCCATGACTACATTTGCCTTTATCTCCCATGATCAATTAATCTTGATGTGGTGAATTATGCCTTTGAGAGAACCTTAACTATTGTCCACAAAGTTATCTATTAACAACAGAGCTGGTCGAAAGATTCGAAAATTTATTTTTTATGAGATTGTCCAATTTTGTGATGGAAAAAGGGGAGAAAGTTTCATGAAATATTTGTGATTTTTTCCCATGTTTTTTCCATCAGCTTACTCTAATCCACTTTTAAATCAGAAAAGCAACACATACAGCATTTTTAACGGCATGCATTGAATGAAATGTGTTGTGTTGTACATTGGTCCATTACAAATTACACTCATTATTTCAACAGATAATCTTTTTATTAAATATCCTTAATAAAAAGTTAAATTCAGATTAAAAAAAGGGTAGATGAAAATAAGACTTGAGAAACTGGATGTTTTGTAAAAGCTCTGCTCTAGGAATTATTTCGGGGAATTTCTATGTCTTGTGCTATACAGGAGGTCAGACTAGATGATCACAATGGTCCCTTCTGGCCTTGAAATCTATGAAACTAGAGAAGAGGAACAAGCTGTGATTTAATCAAGCACTTGAGTTGCAGTTGTGGAAACAAATTGAACCTAACCGGGTCAGACTAGTGTGCCACTGCTGATTAAAACTTACTGTGCTTTATCACTTTTAATTTATAAAGGAAGTTTAAAGCCACCTAGCCAAAGCTCTGTCTACCTTTTACACTTATTTAAAAACACCAGGCATACAGCAAGTCCAGCTGCCAACCCTCGCTACATAACAAAAGTAAACCAGCCAAGCTTTACAAAAAACAAAACAGGTGAAATATCTCACCCTTCTCAGCTGCTAATCCTCAGGTATCCCCCATCCCTCCCTAAAAGCCAGAGGGAGAAAAGAACTTTGTAATATGTCCTGAAGGTCAACAAATTGGGCTATTTTGAACCAAGTGGGGAGCAGATTCCTAAGTTAAGGGACCCTCCAGGAAAGTAACACACCAGCAACTCCTTTGCTCCAGCTTGAGCAACTCTGCAGGTTTCAGCTGCAGCAGCTGTGGCACAGGCAAAGGAGGGGGGAGGTGTCTCTCAAGTAGGCGTCTCCTAAGCCAGTTAGAGCTGCATAGACCAAAATTAACATCTTCTGCTCCACAAAGAAATCCAAAGGATGCCAGTGTAGTTCCCAGAGCACCAGAGTAATATGGCATCCCATGGTGAAATGCACAGGGAGGCAAAAGATATTCTTAAGACTTGGTGACTTTACAATCACAGAATTTCCATAGTATCACACAGGTGGGAGGATGGGCTTTACCTCATCACTTAGTCTGGTGGGCCCTGGAACATCTCAGGTTATCATCTTGCAGAACTCAGTAAATCCGAGTGGAGCACCTGCTCCTTCATGGTACTCCCTGGCCCCAGCCTACCCCACAGCAGCATTGCTCCACTCCACACCTGAGGTGTAATCATGGCCCCACTGAAATCAATGGGAGTTTTGCCATTGATTTCCTGGAGTCAGGATTGCACCCCTGAACCATAACTACTCTCCCTGAGGTGGGCAAAAATGAACAGAGCTGAGTTTTTCAGAAACTAACTCTGATCCGGCAATTGCACAAGAGTTTCCATTGGCCACTGGGGGGGGGGGGGGATGATACATAGAGCCACCCTTTCTAGTTTTGCTCCCTTTCCACCTGGCCGTGTCCTCCAATTTAGTGAGCCTCAAAATATGTGCTGTCCATGCAATGGACTTTCACATGTTCCTGGGCAAGGAACAATGCTGCTGATATTCCTTCCCCCTCCCATATGAAGAATTTATCAGTGGTTTGGGCTGGTATGCATTGCATTGAATCCCATGCATGTCTAGATACCGAGAGAATGATTTGGCCTTTCACTTTAAACACATATGCAAGAGTTATAAGAGTGCTGTCTTTTTCAATTGTGCCATTTACTCCAATAGTGCACACTCTTGTCTTAGTTCCAAGCCTTTTAACGTATTAGTAGCATAGATATACAGAGTGCTGAGGTGATCCCGGAGTTGGTAGTAACTCATTCAAGTAACTCATGAATGCTTTTTCATGCCAGTGAGTTAGGGACATCACAGCTGGAAGGCAGCTTTCAAATACTTGACATTTAATGGATTCAACTCAGCTTAGAGATTTTGAATTTAACTGTTTGAGGGTCCAGTCAATGTTTTCCCCAATTACCTGTATATTTTTACAGGCAATAAGATAAAGATTGCCTGACCGCAACCCCCCGCCAAATTAAATACAAACCCATCAACTCACAATTCACTCTAGTTTTTCTAGAAGCTAAAGAATCCAAGTTTATTTCAAAATGTCCTGAAGTTCAGTGTGCAAAACGATTAAGTGTGTTTTTTTGGTCTCTACCTGTACCCAAAGAATACAGCTGGTCTCTGCTAGTTGTGTGTGTCAGGAGAGAGAATAGGGGTCAGAACACTTTTTGTAAAATCTGTGCAAACCCAAATTTCAGCTCCAATCAGTACTACAAGCTGATGACTTGGTTGTTTTTTTCTTTTCATGAGCAACTGGGGTAAAAAGCACTATTTGTTTTCACTTGAAAGGCTATCGAAAGTAGCCTGAAGTGTTGAAAGTCATCTGTTGCTGTTTTTGTCTCTAGTCCATGCCTAATTTACCCACATGGAATTCTTTTGGAAGTTTTGGTCTCCTCAATGCTCCAATTTGCAAATGTGATGCCAGTTTGTAATCTACGACCAACTGCACAAAGTTATATTTTGAGCCTTTCTTCCCCACATAAGCTGGTTACCAGAGAGTGCAGAGAGCCCAGAGCAACATTTTACAACAGAGAAAAATAAAGGCATTTCTGTAGCGGCTCTCTATTTTGAAAATGCCCCTGCTACCTCCCTGCTTTAAAAGAAGAAATTATGAGTGATGATATCAAATCAGAATTAAAAAACAAAATATGCTGAGGTTTAAGGTGGGCACTCAGATACTAAGATGAAGAGGACTCTAGAAATGCCTATAAATATAAGCAAAGTAAAGTGGAGAAACAAGGTTAAGTTATAAAGATAATATAATTCTCCAGGTTCACGTAGAAAAGCTAGTTTTGTTGCATTTTCATAACCTACGTAACATGGAAAAAGTAATGTAACTATAAATATGTTCAAAGCATAAATTATACAGGAAAAATAATAGTGGGAAGGTACAAAGCTAAACAGAAGTAATGGGGAATTTGCAGCTCAGATCTAAGATTCTGATTGCTGACAGTAAGTCATACTTGTTATACAGTTAAGGAAGAAATATAAAGACACCATCCAGGAGCTGGGGGAAAGTGCATAAAGTTCTCCAAATCAGAATTGTTTACATTCCTTATACCTACCACAGAAAACGTACAAATCCTTTCTTATCCAGATATGCACCAGAGATTATAAAATGTTTCGGTCTAGTTTCCCACTGTGGAAACTAAAACTGATTTTTCCACTGAAAAAGGAGAAATAACTGACTGAAAATTAGCAAAAACAGATTTTTAACAGAACAAAAAGCATTAAAAATGTCTTCAGAAAAACACCATAACAGGAAAAGTCTTGCAAAGATAACTATTATTATCCCCTAACAGACCAAAATATCCCCCCCCACACACATTGTAAACATAATGTTTGGAATACTGCATCAATAGGTAGAATAAAACATGACAGCTTTTGCTGCACCATCACTAAACTGCTATGTAGTTCTAGTTTTCACATGCAGGCATGAGCTAATAAGCAGATTTTCTTTTGCAGATAGTTTCTAGAACCATACATTATTAAAATAGTTAAAATAGGACGAGAATGGATTCATTAAGCTTTATCTGAAACACAAAGTTTTTAAACCTCTCTTAAGCATGTATGCAATTTTTTTTAAACCAATTACTTCTTACCTGTGAAAGATCAATGTTCAGATTCCTTACTAGATGTTATCGTCATGACAGGTCAAACAACTGTTTATAAAAGAATGAGTATCCTTTAGGTACAGCACATATGTATGTTTTAAACACTCCCCCTCTATCCCCCTAAAAAGTCTTCCTTAATTCACTGTCAGTCAAAAACAAGTTGGTAAGAGTCTGAGTTGGAATTACCTGAAGGAGGAAACCGGAGAGAGAGGGAAAGGAATCTGAGAGGAGATTCAGTGATGTCAGCAGTATGTCTTAAGGAAATCTAGAGCTGAGCCCAGCAAACTTTATAACTACAATAGCACTCAACACCCAGTTACGTGGTAAGCAAATACCTGCTTAAAAGGAAACTGATGTACTTTTAAAGAATGTCAGTTAATCTTTGAAGAAACTTTAGTCTCACTGAGCAAAGTCCCTCAAAGGCCTTCTTGCCGGAACAAATAAGGGCACAAAGCTTTGCACACATGAAAAAAAGAAAATAGAGACCAAAAAAAAAAAAAAAGTCAACATTATTGATGATCCCCTTCCTTCTGGCAAAAAGGAGACTGAAACCCATCTGAAATGAATTTATACCAGGACTATTTTAGCACACTGAACCATAACAACCATGGTCATAGCTGAAATCCCTGAACACTAATGTTTCCAAGCTGGTTAGCCACGACACTGTTTCTTTTTGATGACTTATTCTGAGCTTTCCTGTGTGCCATTTCCTCTGTTATTTACAAGATGCAGAAAATAAAGTGAGGTGGTGCAGATTTGATTTGGGGAAAATTGGGTGCCTCTGAATGTGAAGAGTGAGTGGTGTAAGTGTTTTGCCATCCATAACCGTTCTGAAGTGCCTTAGGCGCTATTTTCTTGTTTGATGGGATTCCCAGAAGTAAATCCCAAAAGCAGAAATGAAAGGGAAGACATTACAGCACTGGAAACACTGATCTGCTGGCTCTGGGATATTGTTCTCTGACATACATCCTCCCAGATGCATGGCTTCACGGAATTATGTCACAGCAAGACGGTCCAATGCAACAGATCATAGAGACAAGCAACCATAGAGACTTCTCATGGTGCACTTGATGCTAGATTAATCTTGCCCCCTTTGGTGTTGAGGTGCGAGAGGTGTTTTAAGTATGGCTTTTTACTAACAAAATCACAACCATCTCACTTAAAAGAAAACATACTAGCAGAAGCGAAAGCTCTTTTTTCCACAGTGGCATTGGTAAACAATCATGTCATCGATATGCAACCATAGGAAATAGAGGCCTGGAATTCTGCCTTCATGTGGTCAAGTATGTAGGCATTTAGGCAGTGCCAGCAGGCAACAGCTGTTTTAAATTTAGAAGAACATAAGTAAGATGTGATTTTATTTCCTTGTCAAAGACAAACAAATTTCACACCACTCACACATACACTCCTCCCCCAATCCTTAGACCTGTGGAACTGATTGTCCCTTTATTAATTATTATGAGAGATGGAGCTGGTAGCAACCCCTATATTTAGGTTGTCTGGTGCCTTGCATTATAAAAAGAGTCCAGTGACCTTTTTTTGCGATGCTGTAACACCGTTGTTTGCAGCAGGCCCTTGGAACTGGGCAGGGATAAAGCCCTTGAGCTAGAGAAATTCCATTCTGGGTTAGCTGAACTATGAATGATTAAAATTGCTATTTCCTGGCTCTCACTTGTGTTCCTCAGGAAAATGGTGGCAGCTTGCCAACATAATAACTGCACGTGAATATTCTAAAGTGTCAGGCCCATACTGCCACTGATGCAGCACACACTGCACTGGGAAAGCCCGTTAGCTGCCAAAGCAGTTATAATGGTGGGTAGGGTGGAGTGGAGGTGGAAAGAGAGGCAGGCTGGGCCCTCAACAGCCCTGGCACATGGTTTCAGCATCTTAGCCCCCCCTCTGTGGATATCAAATGGGGCAACAGTTCCTCCAACTCCCAGAGGGGTAAGGAGAGAGACAAAGGTGGCTGAGCTCCGCCCTCAATCATACCTTGGACTCAGAACATGCACCAGCAACAGATTTCCTCTGAGATAAGAGCCTTCTTCTGCTGTTAACTGATGCAGTTAGCCCCATATCTCAAGTGGCAGTAGTCTGTATTGCCGTGCTGAAGGTTCATAGTTCACACCCTGTTAATGATGCATGATGACAGATATCTACCTTTTCCCATTTTATAAAAACCTAGAAAATTACTTGCAAAAAGTTATGTTAAGATTGCAAAGTTAAGCACTTGAAAATTAGGAAATGCCTGTTTTACAGTTGCCTGTGAATATTTATTCAGCCCCTTTGTACATATGTGCTATGATACAGTCTTTAATTACATGATCTATTACTATTTTTCCCACAGGATGCCTGCCTCATTCAGTGCACAAAGTGGCGGAATTAAGGGTCCACAGGTAAATATAAATCTGACATTTCCCAACTTTTGCGTGCTTGACGTTGCAACTCAAATGCCTTTCTTTTAATGTAGCTTTTTCTGAGAATTGTGAACATAAGGTCCCCGTCTTAAACCACTTACTCTGCATATAATCTCTTCTACTGTACCTCAGTACTATGGCAGACATTTAGAACAATGATAGGGAAGAGTGTAACATCCCAGAAGTTCAGCTGTTTATCTGTACTTCTTGGATCTATAAATTTGAGCAGGAAATCTAATGATAATAATTGACTTTCTCATGGTATTTCCAACTCTTGTTTTTGGAAAGAGTCAAGTAGGGAAGAGATAGAAGAAAACAAAAATCTCAGACAGAAAATGCTCCAGGTAATTCAGACTTGCAAAAAAGTTTTAGTCAAGGTTCAGTTCAACATGTGTCTGCATGCATCCCAAAGAGGGAAGAAAAGTCATAATGAACATTTGAGTTTTAGCTCTTCCCTATCACAAATGTGTCAGAAAAATGTTTTACTGTCCCTCTGAAACAAAAATAAAGATACACATTTCATTGCACAATTTCTCTAGGTAAATATATATAGGAAGTAGCAAAAGTTGTGTTATAATTTATGATCATAAACAAGTGCAGAAACATATCTTGACCAAAATGCATTTCTAAGTTCTATTTACTAACAAATAAAATTATTAAATCTTTAATTATGTGCATTAATTAGAAGTTTCAGAATCACTGGGTGGGTTAAGCAATGGAAGAAAGAGGCTAAGAAGAGAGAGGCTACTTCCACCTAAATATGATAGATGTGCTTGAGCCATGAAGTTCAGACCTGAAATTATATCTGAATCTGGATCCAAAATGTCCCCAAAGTTTGGGGGAATTCAGATCTAGGATTTTGGCCCAGCTCATTACAGAAATAGGAGACACTATGCACTGCTCGGATCCTGATCGAAATGTCCTGCAGAGGTATTTGAATCACGGGGTTTGGGTGAGGTCCACATCTAATTATTATTGAAGGATTTGGGGAGAAGAAAAAATGAGTTTATGGTGCATCTCAAAAGCTTGGAGCAGCAGAAAGCATTGTTTCCAAGGGACAAGATGTTCTTTTGGAAATGCTAGAGCTATTTTAGGTGAGCTGGTAGACTGAAACCACTGACTCAGCCTGTACATGTCACCTAAGACACCCAGCTAAGTAGGTAGAGACCAGTTGGTCAGGCTAACTTCACAGTATGTTCACTCTCCTGAAAGTTGCTTGTGCTAAAGAGGACAGTTCTTGGGATACTACTGAGCACCTTAGAGGAAAAATCCTAGCTATGTAATATCAAATATGTTTTTAGAAAAAACAACAACTAATTTTGATATGATTTTACCATTGTTATCCTCTATCATTTGATGGTTTGAAAGGGAGTATAATTGTGGGGCTAGCCTAGGACTTACGAGTCTTGAGTTCAAGTTCCAGTTCCAGCACAGGCTTCTTGTGTGACCTTGGGAATGTCACTTAGGGCCAGATTTACAAAGCCATTTAGGTGCGGAAAGATACAGGCGGGTACCTAGTGGAATTTACAATAGCTCCTAAGCAAGTTAGATGTTTAACTCCCACTCAACGTCAATAGTTAAGTGCCTATCTCACACAGGTGAGTTTGAAAATTCCAGTAGGCATCTATCTGCATCTTTAAGCACTTAAATACCATTGCAAGTCTGGCCCTTAGTCTCCCTGTGCCTTTGTTCTCCATCTGTAAAATGGGGATAATCGCACTTTTTACTTCACCGGGGTGTCGTGAGGATAAATACATTAAAGATTGTGAGGCCCTCTGATACTGTGGTGATGGGGGCCATATAAATACCTAAGAGACAGAAAAGCTCTCCCTCATAATATTAAATTAATTTTTCAATATCTTGACAACATTTTGACAAAATGTTGAAGTTCAGTGGCTGGGAGTCCTGCCTATCCTAGGTTTGGTCCTTGTGGTTTTCTGTGTTCTGTGGTTACTTCAGCTTTTTGTCTTAGCTATCTATAGCTAAAGAGTAAACTCCAGAATCTTTAACGTTTTCTTTATGTAAAGAAACAAAATACCAGTTGGGTTTCCACTTCAATCACTAAAACATAATTGTTTCTGTTTTTATTATTGGCTTTTTAAAATTTCATTTGTAATGTCAAAACATTAGATCAATAAAAACAATGATTGAAAAATTGGCAAGTAGTTTCCCTGAATTGTCAAGGAAAAAAAAGTAAGCTCATTGCAAACCCCTCAAAATGTAGTTTGGTTAGGAAGTACCTAGTAGAGAGAACAGCCAATACAACCAAAAACATTCCTTTCAGAATAACAACTTTTCACACACACAAAGAACTAAGCTCAAAATGCATTTTTATCAATTACTCTAGTTAATTACTCTAGTAATTAAAACCAATTACTCTGGTTATTTAATATGTAAAATCTACATAAAAAAGCCAATTTCCATTCCCATTAAAAAGATAGTAAGAAAATACACACTGCACTCTATAAACGATAGTTTTAATTAAAAAAACAAAAACAAAGATGCTAACTGGAAACTTCTTCTTAGATTCCTGGGCTAATTAGAAAAGCCTACAAATCCAGATCCCTACTGACATTCTATTCTGCAAATACTCATGTATTGCTTTCCGAACTATAAAGCTTGATTACAAAAGATCAGTAGAAATTTGTCAAACTGCTTTTTCAGTACATCAATCAGTTACCCTTTTTAAAAAAAACCCATTGACAACTATGTACTCTCTCCTTAGTATATTTTCTTTCATTGTTTTTAAATAACCTTGTATTGTTTGCATACTTTTCCTGAGATTAGAGATTTTATTTGTAACTATATCTAACTTTGAATCAAAATGGTAAATCTGTTTCTTAATGACTGCATTGTTGATAAAGTTAGATAAAGAGGTGGCAAGGACATATGTTTCAACTAAATGCGCTGTTTCTTGGGCAATGTGACCATGAAAGGAAATGAGGACCCACTTCTGCTCCACTGAAATCAGTGGTAAAGCTGCCATGGAATTCAATAGTACAGGATCAGGTATTGAACGGGAAGACATTCTCTTCAGTGTCACTCCCTCCTATTTAGATGTCATCGTGGTAGTCACTGCTCTCCACTTTTGTGTCTCCATCTTGCTTTTGTCATCTCTTTAAAAATATCACAGAAGTTCACACTAGGGGGACTGTACTATGGCATAGTTAAAGTGATACAGTTTGTGTGTGTAGACAAGCCCTCCTTCGCCTGTATCTTAGGGTGGATGGGGATGGGAGACTCAGGTGCTGGTTGACAGTTGGCAATGACATGCCTATAAGAGTACACAATTGGAATGGGCTTCTTTTCCACTTGAAGAGCTTTACACTGAAAGATTTGGGTGGGATTTTCAAAAGCATCCACCACTGGCCTAACTCTGCTCCCATTGAAGTAGATGATAAATTTTCCATTGACCTTATTGGGAGGAGAGTTACCCCCACCAACTAATGCCTTTGAAAATTCCTTCCTTTTTATCAAGTAATTTTATTTCACCAAGTGAGCTATTGCTGAGATGGTTCTTATCAGTGCATGGTAAGGAATTTGTTTGTTTTTCCACCTGATTGGTCACATTATTAGAGCAGCAACAGAAGTGATTTCTTGTTACTTACCTGAAAACTTCCATTGTAAACCCAGTTTAAAAACTGGATTTAGGACAAGCTTTTCAAAAATGGACATTGAAAGTTAGGTAACTACATCCTGAAGTTTTGGTCCCAAATGACAGAACTATTGATATATTTCAGCTCATGGTGTCAGGAACCTCAAAAGATTTCACAGGATGGCTGCAACCTCATGATGATAGCTGTTCCTATGAATTTGTGGCTTCATTTTAATTAAATCGGTTAAATTAAACCCTTCTAGTTTTGATTGTGACCCAGAACCAAGAGTGAAGGTGTAGATTTAGATGCAGGAATTCAAATATAAACGGCCTTGAAGCCTCAAACTGGAAATTTTAAAAGGCTCAGGTTCAAGAAAGTTGTTTTTTTTTTTTTTGCCTGATACGTTCATGCAACTTCAGAGCAGCCAAAATTCACCTCACTTGCCCGAAACTCAAACATGTCCCTTTCCCATCCCAAGACTCTTCTGGTGAGTGACTGACTGGCTCATCTGCTGTATTTTGAGGTGGGAGGACAAAGTGAGCTTTCGCTGATTACACACACAATATGGCTTCAGGGGAACAAATTGCCCACCTGCTTGTAACAAACTAACCTACACAGATGCTTCATGTGTGCCCCTTCTTTCCCTCCTCTTGGATCAGGAACTGAAGGATCCAAAAGATTCATCCAGGTCTCTCAGGCTGTGTGCAATGGGGCTGAAAATGAAAAAGCTCTATTGAGGTTTCTTCCCCATGAGGCCATTGTATCTACCTCTCAAACAAAGAAATTGCTTCAGATTGATGATCCTAAACACTGAGAAATACCTTTATCACTTTTGCAATCCAAGGATGTTCAAAGGAGCCCTGCTTTGGAAAATTAGTGCAAACAATGGATTAATTTAATTAGAAATGGTTTCCATGGACCAGCAATATGGGACCTGACCCAACATCCACTGAAACAATGGAAATTCTCCCATTGAATTCAATAGAGTTGTGTCAGGCCCATGGGGATTTGAGCATCAAACCATGGAATTAGTACAATCAGTTTCAAATGCCCACACACTAGATTGATTCTCTGTAAATAGAACTAAAAAAACCCAAACCAAACCAGTGCCTCATTGCATTCCAAATGTGTATTCCTGGAAAATAGCATCTTGAATAAACATTTGAGAGTTCTTCATCATCCGACTGTAATCAAAGGAAACGAAATCTGTGTTTTTGCAAATACGTTACTAAGAAGGCTTCAGAACTGAACCTTGAGAAAACTACTGAGGTTGATAGTGCCTATGAAATTTTATGAAAAGTCCAAGAAGTGATGGTAATAAAGAGAAGAGTACACATATCCTGCACCTCAAATCTGGTACAATGATTATCTCTAGGAATACTATCTCAGAGAGATCTTTTTATTTCTACCATGGAAAAAGTTAAGAAATGCCCTTGGAAGGTCATAGAATACATTTATTTCCAGATGTAGCTAAAATTACTCAATCTTAAGAAATAATCTATAGAAAAGAGAACTATTATCCTTTATCCTGCTAAATTCAGGGTTGAGAAGGGGTAAAAAAAATTCTTCCTTCTAATTAAGTTGGTCCAATAAAAGACATTACCTCGCCCACCTTGTCGCTCTAATATCCTGGGACCCACAGGGCTACAAAGAACACTGCAAACACTGAGAGACAGTTCTTTTCTTCACAAGAAGATGTGATAGTAGGTCTTGGCCACACCTATTATCACTATAGTTGCAAAATAGTTTCCATTATAACCCTCTGTTTTCACATGCTCAAACATTGCAAAACATTGACCTTTGGGGCTTCATTTTTCCATAGTTGCTCTCTACCCAGAAGGTGAATTCTTTTAGAAAGTTTGAACAAAATCCCTTCAGAGACAGAGGCTATTGCTTTCAGGCAGTCGCTGGGACAATTTGCCTGAGGAAGATTGTATAGTAAGTATTTTGTTCCTCTGAGGTAAAGTAAAACCTGCTGTAAACCATCTGCATCTGAAAATTACAGGCATGGAAAATAATCAGGGATGTCAGAATTTTAAGGTCTGCAAGGAATTTTTTAGGTTTTCAGGTGGCTGGGGGTTGAAATGGGGGAATAATTAATTGGAAAAGTTATTTTAAGGATGATTGTCCCTTTTCCCCCTTCCCCACCCAATGTGCATCTCCTTTAATGCAGACTATATAGAGTATTCATATTAGCAGAGTATATTCCTCTCAAACTCTTGGTTTGATGGTGCTGATCACTGATATTTGAAACATGCTAAAAGGTATCAGTAAAGCAGGGGACAAGGATTTTCTCGGTTTAAGGTGACAGCAACGAGAGGGAATCAGCCAGGTTAGTGGGTGTCTACAGAAAACAAGGATCAGATTTTCTAACTTGATGCCTAAAAGGGAAAAATATGTCATTAACTTTCTCCATGCAGCTAAGCAAGGAGTAAGGCAGTGCCTTTCTCTCCTGTATCGCCTCTGTACATTGCTGGGGAGAACAGGCTCCATGAGGTCATTCCTCTATGCCCCCCGACACTTACACACAGGCAAGAGGGGACTGGACAGAGGTGAGCAAAGAATGGATGATGTTTTGGCTCCCACCCCTGCAATACCTAAGCTGGCACAGAGAAGGAAGCAATCTACTACTGTTGTAAGCCAGTAGTAGATATTAGTTCCTCTCTGGAGCAAGAGGGAACCGGTGAAGGAACTGTGAGTCTCAAAGCTCCTGGGACAGGGGAGCTACATGTGGTCTCTTACACAGGAGGAGACAAAGTCATTATGTGAAATTCTTACCCTGTTCAAGTCAGTGGGAGTTTTGTCATTCACTTCAATGGGGCCAGAATTTCACCCTTAGTTAGGCACCTGCATCCAGTAGATGCCTAAGTAAGTGACCTGATTTTCAGACATGCTGAGCTCACAACCTATACTGATGTCAATGGGAACTGCAGGTGCTTTGCACCTCAGAAAAATCAGGCCACTTATTTAGAACTCTAAATGAGAATTTCAGTGCCTAACTTCAGATACCCAAGTTTGCAAATGTTGGCCTTACAGAATACGTATCGATGTTCATTATCCAGTGCTGTAGCAATCCTGGATTAAAGTATGAGTAAGGAACCAGAAGAGCAGCAACACCCAAATCAAAAGTAAGATATGGCATTAAGCCACAACACTCCAGGAAGTCTACAGCCTCATCTGTCCACACTCCTGAATGTGTCATCAACATAAGACATGTTAGAAAGAAACTGTACAGACAGGAAAAACAAGACTTCCTAGAGGCAACAGGAAATACATTTGTTTCGTTAGGTCTAATTTGTGATGATTCATCTGACGCATATTGCATGTTATTCAATGCCAACTTGCAGCAGATGAAAGTTGGCATTAGTTCATTATCATTTGGCTAATGCTGCATCTCCAGTGTAAAGCTGGTTGGGAACTTTTGACCAATCTCATTTTTGTCAGAAAATGTCATTTTATCTCAATCAAAACTTATCACAAAACAGGGGCATGTTTGACAAATTTCCTTACTCAAAAAAAGGCCACGAAAAAGATTTAAAATTGTCAAAATATTTCGTTTTGGCAATTTCAAAACAAAAAAATGTCAGCTAATTAGAGTGAGAAAATGAAAAAAGATCAACAGAAAAAATGAAATGTTTCAATTGACCCAAACCAAACAAGTTTTTGGTTTGTCGGTTTGCAAATATTTTTGAGATTTCTAATTTGCATCTTGATTTGAGAAAGGAAAAAATTTGGAACTCCTGCAAAAATTCCCAGGATTGGAAAACAATTTCCCACCCAGCTCTGCTCCAATGGCAGAGTACCTGCAGGGATTTCTACTTCATCTTAGATTTCAATGCACCTGACATTTTGAGGTAAAACTAAATGATCTACTTTGATCATGATCAAGTTATGCCACCCTTGCCCCAGCACTGCCATCACCCAAAGCCCAACTACAGCCCCTTGAAAAAGCTGCCTCTTTATGAGATAAACCTCCTGCCTTTTGCTTCACTGGCTTTTTCTGCTCGGACTGCTACTGCTGACCATCTTCATTTTCTTTTTGCAGTTGGTATGAAAGAGATATTTATCTGGCTCTAACAAACAGGGAATGTGGGCCTGCAAAATATACTTATAAGACACTTAGGGTATGTCTACACTGCAGTCAGAAGGTGAAATTGCAGCTCATGATACCTGAACAAGATCAAAGAGAGCTTGAGTAATAATTTCAGTGAAGCTGAGGCAGCATGGACTGGCTGCTCAAGTATGTCTCCAGGGTCCTAGGTGAGCCAGGCTAGCTCGTGCTACCTGGATCAAAGCTAGTGCATGTATGTCTACATGTGCAGCAATCACACCTCCTGACTGCAGTGCACACGTATCCTTAGAGAGTGAATTAGTAGCTGGACAAAGAAAGGCAAGTAGCGTAGGCCTAAGTTTACATGAGCCTGGTCCCTGAACAGAAAATCAGAGCTACACAATAAAAAATACATTATTACAAGTGCAAAAAATTATTCTGTCCATCCCTCCCTGACTAACTGATGATACCAAGACAGTGATTTTGTGTGTGAGAGGATATTTTAAAAGCTACAATATATGCAGTTGCTTTACTCCTGGGGAAAGGTATGCAAAGCTCAGTGAAACAATTTCTCTTTGGGTGTAATTTGCCTATTTGCAGAGGGCAAGCACCAGTCAAATCCCACTTGCAGTCTAGTTACGTGCCAGCCCTCTGCACAAGGATGAATTTTACCCTTTATGAACACACAACCACAGCCGGCAATATGGTGGCCCCTTTGACTATATGGAGTTCAGTTGGTTCAATCAGAGTTCCAGAGAACCTACTATATAATTTACACCAGGGGATCTTTTGCAATCAACCTGAAATGAACCCATTAAACTTAACCTCTAGAAATTCACATTACTCCAGGCAAAGCAAGGCATTTCACTTCTAATTCTGGCAAGAAGTTTGCAGTCTCAAAAACAGTTCACAAGGCACCTTGCTTTCTCTGGTTTTGAGTTCACTGTCTAAGGCAGGTGACTGTTTGCATGGCCTTCACTTGCACTGTGAACAAAACATCTCACACAGCTCTAGCCAAGAAGAGACCAGCTGACTGTCAGTGAGAGGAGGTTAAGAAAATGCGCCCTCCCCCCTCCAAGCAGGTAAGGACTGCAGGGCTATTGCACTCGCTGCCAGTGATTTCTGAAGCCAAAAAACAAAATATTAAATTAATCAAGATCATCAAGTATGATACTATATATATGCAGATTAAGAGTGAATCATTAAGCCTTCAGAGGGTGCCTGAACACATCTACAGGCTCTCTGTTTCCTTGTACCACACCCTTTCATAATATTCCCTTGGAGGGGGGAAGAAACCATTTGCTCCTCTTTCCTTAGGTGCTACTTTCATTCCTCTGCCTCCCCCTAGCATATTAAGTAATCAAAGCACAGTGCTGCTTCCTTTACTCTCCTTCTCTCATGTTAGGAATAGGCCTACTATGAAGGATTTTGGCAGCTGAATCTCAAAGATTAATATATATATATAGGCTGTCAATGGCAGGTAATGCAAATGATTAATGCAAAACAAATTAGATTTAAAAATAGTTGTGATTAATCACAGTTTTAATCACACTGTTAATAATAGAATACCAATTTAAATTGATTATAAAAATATTTTTGGATGTTTTTCTACAGTTTCAAATATGTTTGTTTCAATTACAACACAGAATACAAAGTGTACAGTGCTCACTTTATATTATTTTTTTTTTTACAAATATTTGCACTGTAAAAAGATAAACAAAAGAAATAGTATTTTTCAATTCACCTCATACCCGTACTGCAGTGTAATCTCTATTGTGAAAGTGCAATTTACAAATGTAGAATTTTTTTTTTACATAACTGCACTCAAAAACAAACCACTGTAAAACTTTAGAGCCTTCAAGTCCACTCTGTCCTACTTCTTGTTCAGCCAATCGCTAAGACAAACAAATTTGTTTACATTTACAGGCGATAATGCTGCCCACTTCTTAATTACAATGTCACCTGAAAGTAAGAACAGGAGTTTGCACAAAGTGAGCACTGTACACTTTGTATTCTGTATTGTAACTGAAATCAGTATATTTGAAAATGTAGAAAAAAATCCAAAAATATTTACAATAAATTAAAATTGGTATTCTATTATTGTTGAATAGTGCAATTAAAATTGCAATTAATTGTGACTATTTTTTAATCTCGTGATTAATTGCTATTTTTAAAAATTGTTTGATAGCCCGTATATAGGTGTAGATATAGACACACAGCAAACCCTTTAAGAAGCTTCAGTACAATTTGCATTTTCTCACAGTGCTACAAAAACCATAGCAGCTTGTGGAGATTCCAGAGGAGCATCTACAAAATATCTGGCAAATAATATTTATTTTCAAAATTGATGTGTGAGCCAAACACAATATGGGGTATTTATCAGCTTGGACCCATTACAATCTTTTAGATAAATATTCTGGTTTTTAAAAAACCTAAACTGTGTATCTAATCCTGTTGTGTCACTTCTCATTTCCTTCAAAGAGAGGGGGAGAAAGCTAAATTAAGCCTGAAGCTCTTTTGAATTTACTGCCCCTTCATCATTAAGAGGCCTTGTTGTGCCAGATATCACTGCATATATTGTTTCTGAGATCACTCACTTGCCCCAGACCCCTGCAATGCCTAAATACAAGGTGGTGCACAATAATGGTAGTATCACTTTACATTGATATAGTGCTTCTCCTCTCAAAGGACCCTAAGGCGCTTTGCACACTGAGCTACTAACTATGGACTAGATTGTACCCTTTAGGGACCAGCTCACACTGTGTGTGGTAAGTGCTAGTAAGTGAGGGGAGGGGAGGACCCCACTTGTGCCACCCCATGTTAGGGTTGCCAGGAGTCCAGTTTTCAACTGGAAAGTACAGTCAACAAGGGAACTGGCAGTGTCCAGTCAGATCTACTGACTGGACACTAAAAGTCCACTTACCACAGACGGGAGGTTGGAGGGGGGAATGGTAGCCTATTGCCCAGCCCTGAAGCAGCGGCTCCTGTGGCAGCAGCATGCACCGGCGTGGGCCACGGGCGGCCCCTTTGAGGAGCATGGTTTGCAGGGCTGCAGCGGAGGACAGAGTGCGGGAGCCCATGGTGAGTGGGGTAAGTGGCTCCCAGTGGGCATGGAACATTCTCCGAGCAGGAAGGAATGCGAGTTGCCCCACCAGCCAGCACTTCCCCTGGCCACGCTCTCAGGCAGCTCCAGGGTGGGGAGGGCTCGAGTGTGTGGGAAGGGGGCTGCTGGGCAGGCAGCGAAGAGGGAGGCGGGGGGGGGGAGGGCCTGCCGGGCAGGAGGGCCGCATCTTAGCTCACCAGCAGGGCTGCCTGGCTGCTCCTGTGTGGCCACAGCACTCCTCTGACCTGCACTGCTAGGTGACCTGCTGGAGCTGCAGCTGCTCACACTGGAGTCGAGGGGGCAGAGCAGAGAGTGATGAGGGAAGGGAGAGGGGAGAGGAGTGAGTGGTGGGGGGCAGAGCCTTGAGGGAAGAGGTGGGGCAGGGACGGGGCCTTGGGAGAAGAGACGGACAGGGGCAGGGGAGTCCAGTTTTCAGACATTAGAAAGTTGGCCAACCTATTCCACATGCTTCCAGTTAATTTGCCATTTCTAAAGTGTAGCCCACTGAGGCGAAAAACCACAGGAAGCGCACAGCAGCACTGCACTGCAGTTCCAAAACACAAACCGAAGAATGCTCAGAGCCTTATTCTCATGTACACTAAGGTCTCTTCACATCTCTCTGGCAGCACAAAGGGAGCTTACGTAAGAACCAGGCCCTCGTTCTAACTGAGACTGCGGGGGAAGGGTGGGGAAGAATTTATGTTTGCACAGAATGGTTAAATGAGCTGCAGTGCTCACTTAGTCAAGGTTAATGCATCCTTATTCTGATGAAGAAGTATCTTGGCACCTTTCATTACCACAGGCTAAGTGGTCAAGACCTTATTACACTATTCCCCTAAAAATCTATCAATTCAAACCCCCACACATTCTTCTTGCCATCCTCAGTATTCAGGGATCTTCTTTTCAGCAGCACCTCTGCAGACATTCAGGCTGAGTAGCTTGCTCTTGATTCTGCTGTGTTGGTGACTGAGACTGTCCCATCCTCCCTCAGTTCTCCTGCCAATTGCTCCCACTCCTCCTCCTCTGCTCAGCCATTCCCTCAACTTCCTCTCTCTCTCTCTCTCTCTCACTGGACAAGGTGGAGGTGCGGAGCACAGACAGTGAGCTGGATGGCTGGCAGGGGAAGAAGGGATGGAATCTCTACTATTGGTCATGCCTACCCTGAAAGACAGCCAAAAAATAGCACAACCCAGGGGAGAGGCTTAGGAACTGGACCTGAGGCCAGAAAGCTCCAGCCAAACTCAAGTGTTCAACAGGTGTATTCCTCCAGCAACATGATAACCCATCATTCTTAATTGTCAATGCCAGTGATGTGCTGTGGGCCCACAGGTTCCTCTTGTTAAAATGTCCTGCATTCTTCTTCCCTTATCTGCTGAGCAGCAAAAAGAGAGAGAAGATGACAAAGAAACCAGCTGCCCTGGAAGAAGAATGCTACAGTTTTTCCAAGTGTGCAGCAAGGACTAGTAGAGCTTGATGCACATAGTAGATTGAGCTAGTATATCTGCTCCTGACCTCTGTAGGTAAAATGCCTGTGGCCACTGTCACTATGCCTCCTCTCCATGCCCTCGTTTAGTTTAATTGTGGCCCTAGGAACATTAATTCAGACCTTGACTTTGACTTCATTTATCCCAGCTGCTGCATTGGGGGGGGGGAGGAGGAGAAGCAGCAATTCACTGAAAACACATGCTGTCTCTGCACTAACTAGATAAATCAGCTACACAAATAAAAGATTGTTATGTATCGTTTTGATTCTCTGGTAATGTTTTAGTGTTTTCACTCTTAATATAATGATATTTAAATCCCAAGTATGTCATAACATTTTATATTATGGGGAACATCCCACTGGTATTTGTTATGAACACAGTAGTTAGTTACTGCTAATTTAGCATTAAAAATTAGGGAGAAATCAGCATTCAGTTTATTAGAGTGGAACATATAGAACATTCCAGATTTTTCTTCAATTTACATTTCTTCAATCTACTTTATAGCTTTTATTTTATATATATATATGAGGGAGAGAGAGAGAGAGAGAGGACTGTTCCACCTAGGTGCTGGACTCAACTTGTTCCAGCCCTCTACTTCTCAGATCACATAGGCTCTACACAGGACCGGCTCCAGGGTTTTTGCTGCCCCAAGCGGTGGAAAAAAAAAAAAGCCACGATCGCAATTGCAGTTGGCGGCACTCCGGTGGCAGCTCCACCGCGCCGCTTTCTTCTTCGGCGGGAATTCAGCGGCAGGTGCTTCCCTCCAAGAGGGACCCGCCGCCAAATTGCCACCGAACAGCTCGACGTGCCGCCCCTTCCCCTTGGCCGCCCCAAGCACCTGCTTGCTGGTCTGGTGCCTGGAGCCGGCCCTGGCTCTACAATAAATATCTCTGGATATATTCTATCTTAGCACTAGAACAAATTAAAAAAACTTTATCACTTATATATGCTTGCTTGCTTTCCTTTGTTTTAATGCAATGTCCCGAGCTGATCTTACAATATATTAGATAACACTGATTTTTTTTTTGGTGGAAACATTTAATCAGTGTTTACAGTTCTAAGGAAATAAAAGAATGTACTGAGCACTATAACCTTGAAATCTCACATGAAAAATATTGGTGCATTTCAGAAGTTGAATTAAATGGAGACAGAAAAGTATTATGTTGAATGTAATTTCTTCTATACCTGTTAATTCACAATTTCATTTAGGATTGATTAATAGGGTTTCAGAAATGGAGAGATTTGGAATTTAGTTAAGCGTTAGGTTTTTTCCTTAAATTGAATTTAGTATAATGTGTTTATGAATGCATATACAGTACATACGCCAATGTGTGATGAAGTTTATCTACGATACACAATGAAAATTAAAAAGATAGCAATGATATTTTGACTATACAGCCACCTTCAAGCGTGAGTAAGGAAAATGCAGAGGTTTCAAAGGAACACAAGGAGAACTAAAGGTTAAAATAAAAACAAAAGATATGCTTATGTACTCAGACCATAGTTATATACACTCCCATCATCCCCCCTCTCCCTTGAGACTTGTGATGTCTCCCTTGGAAACATGCAAGCACAATGGCTCAATTAACTTGGTTTCAGATAGTCCTTCCTACAGCCAGTCCAGAAAAGAGAGGAGTGCACTACTCCAAGCACTTGTTTTATGGTGCCAGTAGAGTCTCAGGGTGCTAGGGTCTTGACCACACCTCAAGATGCCAGTCAACAAACACTTAGGGCAAATAACCATTCCTGGCATCTTAGTTAGATCACCAGGATAGTACTCAGAACACTAAGTCACCATTCTACCTGCTTCCTGTGCAATGCAAATTAACTGTTGGGCAACAGGTAAGCAGAGAAGAGTCTCCCAAACTCTCTTCTTCCTAGCGCAAGACAAGGCAGAACTTACCCCGCATCATTTTCCTTTACAGATGATTTCAAAAGGGGACCTTCATGTTTGAAGCACGGTTCCTTATTTGACTATTTTAAGTCATCTGTTTTTCTATTTACAGCCAAAATGCTGATGCAAGACTTGCTATTGACTTCAGTGGGTTTGGATGAGGCCCTCACATCACTCTCGTGCACACTCTGTGATAGATCACAGGGTATAAAGCAACAGAAGAGAATATAAAACCTTAGCCTTTGTCTGGGTTTGTGATTTCTGTAGCTATTTGTTCCCACCAAGAACAGATCACAAGCCCTCAAGGACATATACAAAACTTGAACATGTCTACAAATGGATAGGTCATCGTCATAAGTATAACTTCTTGATGGGATTTACACCCAGCCACTAAAGTCACGATCTCATATTCATGAAGTGTAAGAGAGGCTGTAACAATGCACAGGAATCTGTTCTAGAGTTGGTTTCCTATTAACAAGGAACAAGATTGGGTGTTGAGAGTGCCAGAGCCCTAGACACCAACTGATGCCAAGTAGGAACTGGTTGTGGAGACACTGGAAGACTCCAAAACACTGGAGATTGTTGCTGAACCCAGGTGAATTATCTGTACTGTGTCCATTTCAAGAACACGTTTTGTTAGAGTATTTGTTATTGATCATGGATATCATACCTAAAACTGGCTTTACTGTGGCCCTGCCCTGTGCGTAGCACATGAAAGTCTGTTGATTAATCTCAAATGTTTCCCCCTCAGCACTGAGCATTATAATTGTATATAGCAGCAAAAGTGTGCCAACATCTATATGCTATTGGTGTGGATTAGGTGTCTTAGACATTTTTATAAAGTGATTCAGGGGGAATTTTCTCCCTCAAAGTTTTATTCTTGAGGGTTTAAGAGTGTATTTGTTATAAGAAGACAGGGGAATAAAACAATCGTACATAACTAGAAATAAGAGAGAGATTCATCCCCAGCCAAGGTTACCATGGCAGACATTCAATACGAATATGCAGAGTTCCCACAGTTTCCAGCGCATCATTCTATTATGTCTCACAAGTAGCTGCTCTTATAAAGTTTCCTGTGTCCCATGCCCAAGGATGTGTCTCACACTGTGATGAAAGACCTTTGGCATCGCTGTGACTGGCCCAGGTCAGCTGACTTGGGCTCACGAGGCTGGGGAGTTATAAAACGGCAGTGTAGACATTTGGGTCAGGCTGGAACCAGGCTCTGAGACCACATGACTGGGGAGGGACTCAGGTTCTCAGGCTCCAGCCTGAGCCTGAACATCTACACCACTATTTTTAATCCCACTGCCCACACCTCACAAGCCTGAAATCAGCTGAGACTCTGTGCCACAGGTTTTTTATAGCTGTTGGCATAACCTAAGAATCTGAATGGAACTTACTACCTCATTCCTGTCTCATCACTTCCCCCTGACCATCTGTGTGAGGTCTTAGCAGGGAGCTAGCTCCCTTCTTGTTGGGCACATCTGACAGAGTATGCAGACCAGTTCCCTACCCAAAGAAGCTCACAATGCAAATCGCAAGAGTGAAGTAGCACATCACTCTCCATTTTCATTACAACACGCTCCATTATTTTTCACATGGATATGTTAAGCTGTGAACTTGATTACCTACTCCACTTATTTGTCCACTGAGGCCTTTATTTACTAGCATCCTCCTTCTTGTAGTGGCTGAAAAACTGGCTTCAGCTAAAACTGAGTTTAATAAGACTGCTGCTATACAATGAATGCAAGTTAGCAGAGTAATTGTACTGGCTATTGTAAATTAACCCCCAGCATGATACCAGCATGACACATTTAGTTCTGAAAGTCACAAATCAGAAGTTTTAAGTAAGCTACTGAAGTTCTCCAGTACTTTTATTGATAAAGATGTGTTAAGTCTGTATGTAACAAAAACACTTTATTCGTTTTTTGCAAGAATAATAAGATGTTATTTGGGAGGGGTTGTGCCAACAATAAAACTTAAGGGTGAAAAGTAAAAGTAGCTATAATGTATCTTGGTTCTATTCCAGTTGATGGCTAATCTCCCATTGACTTCAGTGGATCCAGGATTTCACCCTTGTTCTTCAAACACACTTGAGTTCAAAGAACAATCCTCTACCTGCAACTACAGAAAGGAAACAACAGATATTAGAACCTTCACTGAAGAATATTTAATTTTTAACTTAATATTTTAACTTTAATAGTCACCTTCATCCTCTTTCATATTTAACTTGTCCTTATGGCTACTTTTACTTATTAACAATGTCCTGGCTACTTTTTAACTGCTCTTGATGAGAATAATCCTGACAATGCATGTCAAGGCAAGTTGTTAAATAATCAGTGTGAACTTTTAGCTCAGTTAGTTTTACTAACCCCTCAGTCCAAGTGGTTAAAAATCTAGAGAATAACTGAGGGTCTAGCCAATCTGTAATATAGTCATAGGGACAAAGCCCACTCACCTGAACAGTCCCATTAAAGCCAATGGGAGTACTCGCCTGAGTCAAGCAACTAGAAATCTGCCCATTCTTATGGTGGCTGATGCAGTGGCCATGGAGGTCACTGGAAGACTCCCATTGATTGCAATGGTTGCTGGATCAGGCCCTTAGTTTACAGTGTGTTAGGATTATGCTTGGGAGGTAGGAAAAAAGAAAGCGATTGTTGTATTAAATTGTGATGTGCTTTTTTATTTAATTCATCACATTTCAAACTGTGCATCTTGTAATCTTTTGCAAAAGGAAAGACCTAAAAATCATAACAGAGCCCTGGAAACATCTTTCAAGTATTGCAGTAAACAAAGTGTAAATGTAATTATTGCTCCAAGAAAAAAAATAAATGTCAGTATATTGATCATTTTTTTCAGCTGCAACATGAAGATCAAGGATCAGAAAATTCAAGCCAAACATCTGAGCTAACTAATGAATTTTTAACAAAAATGCCATTTTTTCACTGTACAGCTGCCACAGCAAAGCAGATGCTAGAAATTCTCACTCCAGAATTCTCTGCTTTCAGTCCAAAATAAAAACTGTGTGGCGTTCCAAGTTAAACTCACAAAAGAGAGAGAAATATGCTTGTGCTTTTGCTGTAATATGAATTTTCCATTGAAGATGTGGTTGAATTAGCAGTTCATTTTTTAAACTATTACTTTAATTTACTCTTTGTGGTCAGTGTTTTCTTCTATAAAAACCATGCCCCAGTCCTACTTCTTTTGAGATACCTCACAATAAAACACATACAAGGGCAGAGAACTGTCTAATTATATGTCTGTAATATGCCTAGCACACTTTTGGGTGCAGTAAAACAAATAACAGAAAATGTGGTGGAATGT